ATGTTTTTGAGGTATAAGCAAAACTATTATTCCAGCAATGATGGTTTGGTTTTTTTTTAATATTTATTATTTTTTTATGTGTATGAGTGTATGGCCTGCATGATGTTAAGTGCACCCATGTTGTACGATGTCCAAAAAGGTCAGGGTGTTGGAGTCCCTGGAATTGGAGTTACGGATGGTTGTTAGTGCTGGGATTCGAACCCTGGTCCTCTGGAAGAACACCAAATGTTCTTAACCTGCTGAGACATCTCTCCAGCCTCTTGTTTGTTTAAAGACAAGATCTCATTATCAGGTCTAGGCTGGTCTGGAATGTGAAATCCTACTGCCTCAGACTCCCAAGTGCTGAGATAGCAACTGTTTTTAAGACAAACATCTATTAAATGAATTTTATTTTATTATTCTCTTCTGGTTTGGGCTTTTTATCTGTTTTGAGACAGGGTCTCACATAAGATAGGCTGGACTTGAATTCCTGACGATCTGGCTTTCACCTTCCAAGTGTAGGATTATAGGCATTCAACACCATGTCTTGCTCTGAAAAATTGTTTTTCCCATTAGCTTTTATTAGAACTGTGAAGACTGAAGCAATAACTAATTTATATTCAATTCAGCAACCAAAGATACTTTTTCATTACAAAAATAACTGGGGGAAGGGCTGGAGAGATGGCTCAGTGGTTAAGAGCACTGGCTGCTCTTGCAGAGGACCCAGGTTTGATTCCGAGCACCCATATGGTGGCTAACAACCATCCATAACTCCAATTCCAGGGGAGCCAATGCCCTTTTCTGGCTCCACAGGCATTGCACGGCATGGGTACACTTACACACATTCAGGCAATACATGCATACACATAAAATAAAAATAAATTAAAAAAAATTTTTAAAGGGACTGGAGAGGTGGCTCAGCAGTTAAGAGCACTGGCTGTTCTTGCAGGGGAAGCAGGTTTGATTCCCAGCACCCACATGGTGGCTAACATCTGTCTGTAACTCCAGTTCCAGGGGATCTGATGCATCTTCTGACCTTCATGGGCATTTCATGAGACGGGTGCACTTAACATACATTCAGGCAACACACTCATATACATAAAATAAATAAAAATAATAAATAAAAAATATTTTTAAAATTTACAAAAAATAACTGGAGGAAATGTTAATAAAAATGAAGGGTGTATGAAAAAGCAATGTGGAACTTTACTATTTCATATGTCAATTAAGAAATATAAATTGTCGGGCATGGTGGCACACACCTTTACTCCCAGCAATCCAGAGACAGAGGCAGGTGGACCTCTATGAGTTCAAGGCCAGCCTAGTCTACAGAGTGAGTTCCAGGCCACCTTGGGCTACATGGAGACCTGCCTCAAAAAACAAACTAACTAAACTCTGTGTGTGTGTGTGTGTGTGTGTGTGTGTGTGTGTGTAAAAGTAACAGAAGAGAGATATCCTGCATAGCAGGATAATGTTGCTCCTACATGGGTAAAATTCCCAGTGCCCAGTATGGGATATCTCCTTATGAGCTGTTGGTTAGGGATGCCCCAGAAGCCCCTAAAACAATATAAATACAGGCTCTTGCCATTCCCTTTGGTTGCCCATAAGAACTATATAAGACTTTTGTCTTGGTTGCAAGATATAGAGAAATATAGAGAAACAAAGCTGGTACTGAGCTGGAAGCTTCTTTCCTGCTGGCTAGCTTTTTTATAAGGTCAGAATGTGCTATGGAAGCTGCTTGGAGAGAAAAGGCTTCAGTAGTCTTTCCTATAAGGTACAATACCAACCTGCCAGGCAATTTGTACCTGCTGAAGCAATAGTGGCATAACTGTTCTAGGGGCGATCAACTGCTATCTAATTGGATGAGGCTGGTTCCACAGGAAGGAATTCATGCCTGGTATTGTAAACGTGGTCAAAACCCAGGGCCAAGGAAGTCACCCCAATCCCTATTGGCAATTTGAGTAACCT